CTAATAAGAATAATAAGAATAATAATAATAAGAAGAATACTAAGAAGAAGGATAATAATAATAAGAAGAAGAAGAAGAATAATACTAAGAAGAATAATAAGAAGACTAAGAATAATAAGCAGAATAATAATAAGAAGAATAAGAAGAATAAGAATAATAAGAATAATAAGAAGAATACTAAGAAGAAAAATAATAATAATATGAAGAATAAGAAGAATATTAAGAAGAAGAAGAAGAATAATAATAAGAAGAAGAAGAATAAGAATAAGAATAAGAATAAGAAGAGGAGGAGGAGGAGGAGGAGGAGGAGGAGGGGGAGGAGGAGGAGGAGGAGGAGGAGGAGGAGGAGGAGGCGGAGAGCGCGGGGAGATAGACGAGGGAGCGGGGGCTGATGATAGGCAGAACGGGTGAGGGAGGAAGTCGCCGCGTCTTTCTCCCTGAGCAGCAAATTCTGCAAGCGAGGTGTCCTCATGCGGCTGATCGAGGCTCCCGTTGTTAGTTCCCGAATCAGGTTTCCGTGTGCGCGTGCGGGATCTAGCCCAGGAAGGGGGGGCGGTTGCGGGGCTTCATTTCCGTCCCGACGGACCTTGGGCCAGGAAGGGGGGCGGCCCCCAGCGACCGAAAGTATTGAATCACCGGCCGTTGCGATGGTTCTCGCGACGCCCAGATCTGACGGTCATGTCGGCCTGGCTCTGCAGATCGTGAGACGCGAGATTCAGTGCGCGAAAGTCTGGTCTGGCCCAGGCCCCCGACGCCTTCCCCAACTCTCCTGTGTCGGGCTCTCGCTTTGAATAGATCACTGCGGTCGCGACCCCCGCCCCCTCCGCCTCCATTCTGCCTCCTGCCTCCTGCTTAGTCCCAACCCTCTTGCGTTGTGCTGTCGTTTTGAATGAGCATTGCGGTCGCGCACCTTCTCCCGCACGCCTCCTCTTCCTGCCTACTCCTCCTGCCTCCTTCCGCGCTGCTCCCTGGGGGGGGGCAGCGAACTGCGCAACTGTCGCCACTGTCGTAGGCTCTTGGAGGCACAGCGGAGACGGGGAGAGTAAACGGATCCAGCTGAGACCGCGCAGCTTCATGGGGGACCTCGATCTGCGCAGCAGTCGCCACTTTTGTGGGCTCGTGGGAAGCACGGCGGAGTCGGGGAGTACGCTGGGATAGACGGGGAGCACGGCCAGACGAGACCTCGTTGCTACCTGGGCGGCTGCGAACCGCGCAATTGTCCCCACTCTCGTGGGCTCTTGGGAGGCACGGCGGACTCGGGGAGTGCGCGCACCCAGTCGAGGCCTCGCAGTTCCCTGGGTGGTTGCGAACGTTGTAACTGTCGCCGCTCTCGTGGGCTTCTGGGAGGCACGGCGGAGTAGGGGAGTACGAGCACTCAGACGGGACCTCGCAGCTCCTCGGGTGGCTGCGAATTGCGCAATTGTCGTCCCTTTCGTTGGCTTCTGCGAGGCACCGCGGAGTAGGGGAGTAACCTCATGCCCGTGAGAATAAACACTAGGGGATAATAAAGTTCGGGGTTCAGGGAGAGATAATAAAAGTAGCCCAGCAGACCTCAGCATAATCTCGAAGTAGAGATGATCAAGAGGAGACCAAGCCGAGCACGTTTTGAGACATCCTTGGCGTTTAGTTTTCATAGAAATATCCTCAACAATGGCTTATCTCGCTGGAATGGAGGAAGCTGTATATAAAAAAGAAAAATAAAAATAATAACGAATAAAATAAAAGAAATGATAGGAGGAGGAGAAGGACGAAGAGAAGAACAAATATCGAGTTTCAAATCTATTATATTTTATTTACAAACGCTTTATGACAAGTGTTTTTTGTAAGTGCTCGTGTAGGGTAGCTCATGTGCCTCAATTTCCATGGGTAATCAACCCCAGAGATAAAAAAAGTTCAGGCGAGCGTGGGGACAGCGAGAAATATACAAGAAGAAGAATACAGTAGAAGAATAATAAGAAAGAAGAAGAAGAGGATAATAAGAAGAGGACGAAGAAAGGACAAATCCAAAGTTCCAAATCTATCAATTTTAATTTACAAACGCTTTATGAACATTGATTTTTTTAAGTGCTCGTGTAGGGTAGCTCATGTGCTTCATTTTCCATGGATAATCAACCCCAGGGATAAAAAAGTTCAGGCGAGCGTGAGGACAGATAGAAATATAAAAGAAGAAGAGGAAAGTAGAAGAACAATAGGAAGATAATAATAATATAATAATAATAAGAGAAGAATAACGTAAAAAATGGAAAGTTACACATCTATCAGTTTTAATTTACAAGCGCTTTATGAACATTGATTTTTTAAGTGCTCATGTAGGGTAGCTGATGTGCTCCCCTTTCCATGGATAATCAACCCCAGAGATAAAAAAAGTTCAGGCGCGCGCGGGGATAGCAACATCGCTTGATGTTGCTATCTCAACATAGCGTTTCGAGGTGATAATGAAGTTCGGCCTCAGCGCTCGCCGCCCAATTTGAATTTTGTATAGGGCGACGATAATCAACTCTAAACACTGAAGGGGGGGGGTCCCTTTATTATCATCGGCATGCGGTTGCGCGCACCCAGCCGGGACCTCGCAGTTCCTTAGGCGGTTGCAAACTGCGCCAGTGTCGCCAGTTCCGTGATCCCCTCGGGGGTTTAACGGGGGGCCACGCGTGTTAAGACGAGACTTCGCTGCTCCCTGGCTGGTCGTGAATTGTGCACTTGTCACCAGTTTCGTGGGATCGTGGGAGACACGACGGATTAGGGAATTACTCGCACCCAGACGAGACCTCGCTGCTCCCTGGGTGGCTGCGAACGTTGCAGCTGTCGCCGCTTTCGTGGGCTCCTGGGAGGTCCATCGGAAGAGAGGGGTACGCCCACTCAGCCGAGACCTCGCAGCTCCCTGGGTTGCTGCGAACTGCGCAACCGTCGCCGCTCTCGTGGGTTCCTGGGAAACACGGCGGAATCGCGGACCCAGCCGAGACCTCGCTGCTACTTGGGTGGTTGCGAACTGCGCAATTGTCGCCACGTTTGTGGGCTCCTGGGAGGTCCAGTTGAGTCGGGGGCCACGCGCACCCGGCCGAGACTTCGTTGCTCCTTGGGTGACTGCGAATTGCGCAATTGTCGCCGCTTTCGTGGGCTCCTGGGAGGTCCAGCGGAGTCGGGGGCCACGCGCACCCAGCAAAATCCTCGCTGCTCCCTGGGTGTCTGTGCACTGCGCAATTGTCGCCGCTCTCGTGAGCTCCTGGGAGGCACGGCAGGATCGGGTGCCACGCGCACCCGGCCGAGACTTCGCTGCTCCCTGGGTGGCTGCGAACTGAGCAAGTGGCGCCACTTCCGTTGGCTCCTGGGAGGTCCAGCGGAATCGGGGGCCACGCGCTCCCAGACGAGACCTCGCTGCTCCCTGGGGGGCTGCGAAGTTCTCCAGTGTCACCACTTTCGTGTACTCCTGGGAAGCACGGCCTGTTCGGGGGCCACGCGCACTCAGTGGAGGCTTCGCTGCTTCTTTGGGGTTGCAAACTGCACATTCGTCGCCGCTTTCGTGGACTCGCTGGAGGCACGGTGGAGTAGGGGAATACGCGCACCCAGACGGGACCTCGCAGCTCCTCGGGCGGCTGCAAACTGTGCCATTGTCGCCAGTTCCGTGATCCCCTGGGGGTCCAAGGGGGGGGGCCACGCGCACCTGGACGAGACTTCGGTGCTCCCTGTGGCTGTGAATTGTGCAATTGTCACCACAGTCATGGGATCGTGGGAGACACGGCGGAGTAGGGAACTGCTCGCACCCAGACGAGACCTCGATGCTCCCTGGGTGGCTGCGAACGTTGCAACCGTCGCCGCTCTCGTGGGCTCCTGGGAGGTCCAGCGGAATAGGGGGACCACGCGCACCCAGACGAGACCTCGCTGCTCCTTGGGTGGCTGCGACCTGCGCAACCGTCGCTCGTGGGGGTTCCTGGGAGGTCCGGCGGAGTCGGGGGCCACGCGCACCCAGCCGATGCTTCGCTGCTCCCTGGGTGATTGTGAACTGCGCAGCTGGCGCCGTTTTCGTGGGCTCGCGGGAGGTCCAGCGGAGTCGGGGGGCCGCGCGCACGCATTTGAGACCTCGCTGCTCCTTGGGATGCAGCGAACTTTGCAACTGTCGCCACCTTCGTTAGCTCCTGAGAGGTCCAGCGGAATAGGGGGACCACGAAGATCCAGACGAGACCTCGCGGCCCCCTGGGAGGCTACGAAGGGCGCAACTTGACGCTTTCGTATGCTTGTGGGAGGCACGGAGGAGGTGAGGGCAGGGCAGCGCATATCGTGCATTTCTTGCGATGTGTTTTTTCGTCTGGAGCGTTCTTGCAAATATTCTCGCGTGGAGAAGGGGTCGAGTACGGGTAATTTCTTCTCGGGGGGGGCAGTGAGTCCCGACTGCTTCCCAGGGGCTAGGTTTTCATCCTGACCAGTTGTTGGCGGTCCTGGAGCCGAGAAACGCCTAACGCCCGCGCCTTGTTTTTTGCCAAGACGTCGGAGGTCTTGGCAGACGCGAGATTTACGATAGAGCAGTTTTTTTTTGGGGGGGGGGGGGTCAGTTGTCCTTAAGGGCTTGGCGACTTTTCGCCAATCGACTTGCGGGGATCAAGCCAGATACGTCGTGGTGAATCCAGATGGATCGAGGTAAATCCAGACACATCGAAGGAAGTCCAGGCAGTTCGAGGTAAACCCAGGGATCTCCAGGGAAGCCTCGAGCAAACCGCGGACTTCCAGCGCGAGTCGAGGGACAGCAGAAGTCGTGAAGCCCGCAGGGTAGGTTCATGCGGCGTCGGCGCGCCGGCGACGTCGGCGAAGGCGTCCAGGGTTGGATTCTGCGGCTCGGCAGCACCGAGGGACACGTTGACGCCACTGGACCAGACGGAACTTGATCTCGAGCGATCGGGGCCGCGATCGATTCACGTCTGGACGATCAGCGCGGTGTCACAAACCTTGGCGTGCGCCGACGCCGCAGGAACCTGCCGTAATGACGCTGGAGGGCCCCCGCCCGCCCGCGAGGACGTCCACCAACTCCGGCCTGGCCCCCGAGTACGCGCTGCTCTCGGAGCGAGGGCGCGCCGCCCGCTCCGCCCCCCTCCCGCCCTCCTCGCCCTCGCCCTCGTTGCCGTCCTCGTCATCCTCGGTGGCGAGCGGGGGCGGGGCGTGAGAGGGAGGAGGCCTCCTCAGAAGGCGACGAGGCTTCTCAGAGGCCCTCGCGCCTTCTGAGAAGTTGCCTGAGCCTTCCCCTCCTCAGTAGAAGGCCAGCCCTTTTCTTGCGTCTTCGGGGAAGGCTCAGACATTTTTTCAGAAGGCCAGGGACTTCCGAGCCTTCTGAGAAGGCCCGCCCCCTTTCACTTCCCCACCCAGGCTGGCCGCTGATTCCCTCCTCAGGCCGCGCCCATCCCCCAAATGGGAGATCGCCCCGAGAGATGGGGTTCCAGGCCTTGAGAGATGAATCATGGGAAACCGTCAGGAGTGCGTTCTGCGCGCGCAGATCGCCCGCCTGAAGGCATCCCACAGTTCCCAGGCCCTGGCCCGTACGGGGCCTGTGCTCTGTGGAAACGTGGGGGTCACTCAAGACTACGGTTCGGGTGCGCGAAGGGCACGCCTGAGGGCTTCCTATATCCCAGACCCTCGACGTCTTGATATTTTCACAACGTCGAACCCCTTCCCCGGGACCAGTTTCCCATCCCGAGTCGTGTTCTGACGGTCCCGAGGCCCGGCAAGGGCCCCCAGAGGCCGAAAAGAGCGACAAACCTCCCGTCGTGTTCTTTTCACGACGCGAGGGGGTCTGGGATCAAAGCAATCCAGGAAGCTGCCAGGAGACTCAGAACAAATAGCGCCACCTCCCCTCTCTAGGCCTCCTAGTGTGATTCCTAGCGGTTCCCTCGCTCCTAATCCCCGCTTCCGCCTCGCTTCCGCTCGCTCCAGAGAGATTGCTGCTGCGGTTGCTTGCTCTCACCCTTATCTCCTGCGGCCGTATTGGTTTCAAAACATTTAGGGCCCTTGGCCTAGAGACTCCTGTTCGACGCTCGAACAGGAACGATCAGCGATCATTCTCCATAGCACAGTGGTAGCGGAGCGAGTCTCAGCTGCCTGGCGCTGCGCGCCACTTCATATTCCGCCACGACGAAGCCGTCGCGAACCACGGAATCGAAGCCCAGCGGCTTCCTCGCGCTGTTGCTCAGCGCCTACGCCAGCGTCAGCGACGCCAGCACCTACGCTTACCCTGCCAACTCCAACGCCAGCGTCAGCGACGCCAGCACCTACGCCTTCAGCGTCAGCGACGCCGACATCAACGCCTACTTCTCCAGCGCCAGCGTCAGCGACGCCGACATCAACGCCTACTTCGCCTACTTCCCCAACGCCAGCGTCAGCGACGCCAGCATCAACGACTACTGCGCCTATTTCTCCAACGCCAGCGTCAGCGACGCCAGCATCAACGCCTACTTCTCCTACGCCAGTGTCAGCGACGCTAGCGACTACTACGTCTTCAACGCCAGCTACTTCTCCTACGCCAGTGTCAGCGACGCTAGCGACTACGCTTTCAACGACAGCTGCTTCTCCTACGACGGTGTCAGCGACGCCATCTACTTCTCCGACAACGGTGTCAGCGAAGCCAGCTACTTCTCCTTCGACGCCAGTGTCAGCGACGTGGCTTACTCTTTCATCTGCGACAAAATGACAGACAACTATGCTTGCAGCGTCATCCCTACTTGGAATGGCGATCCATCAAAGTGGAGAGATACACGCAGGAGGTTAAGCTTTGGAAGCTCAGTGAGAACCTCGCCGTGGCGCACAGTGTCGCATCGAAGTTCGTGCTGAAGCTCAGCGGGACGGCCCGAGGTACAGCACTTAATATGACGGAGGCGCAGCTGCATCCAGCAGCCGCGGCGGACATCGAAGACCCCGATGACAGGAAACGCAATAGGAACCAGGTCGGCGTCGAGAATGTGCTACAGCACCTGGGGGCTAGCTTGGGTCAGCAGAAGCCCGTGCAGAAGGGCGAGGCCCTCGAGAAGTTCTTCGAGTCGACTCGACATCGCCGACGACGAGGTGAACGCAGAACGGACTGGCTCATCCGTTTCGAGACTGGACTGCAGCAGCTGCGCGAGAACGAGGTGGACCTCAACGCGCTGGACGACGTGGCGGGATGGTTCCTGCTGCGCAAGGCTGGGCTCGCGGCAGAGCGCCGCGAGCGCGTCGTGGGCAACTTGCCTGACGGGCACTGCGGCTGCCATCGTATCCGCGGGCTGCTGGTCAGGATGTTCCCGGACATCCATGCGTCGGAGCGCCGCGCTCCCCCGCCGAGGTCCTGGGCCAACCAGTCGCGCTCGCTAGGCGGCTGGCGCAGCAGCGTCTCCTCCAGCCGCGGGGGGCGCTCTACCAACGTCGTCGACGAACCGGGCGACGAGAACGACGAAGAGCAAGAGGAGGGCGACGAGGACGAGGCCGACGTCCAGGACATCGTTCGCCAGGAGCTCGAGGCTTTCAGCGCCGAGCTCGAGTCCTCCAACGTGGGCATCTCCGAGCTGTTCGACGGCGACGACTCTGCCGAGGTCGAAGCTGCCGCAGCGGAACTTGCCGTTATTCTCGAGGCCATGGCCACCGTCAGATCGGCCCTGGAAGCCCTCGAGGGCCGCGGCAAGGAGAAGTCCGCACCGCCCCGCCGCCCGACCAAGCTACAAAGCCGGGTCGACCAGCGCGAGAGGAACATTTCTTTCTGGGGCTGCGGCGAGACCAGACACAGGACAGGGGGCAAGGAGTGTCCTGCGCCAGGTGCTCGCAAGTTCGCGCCCAAGGACAGCGAGTCAAAGGGCGGTGGGCGAGGGGGTCGCGGAGGCCGTCCTCAGCGCCAGGCGCGCATCGCCGAGCAGGTCCAGTTCGCGGACGAGGAGATCGCCCTGCACCCGCAGGGGCCAGTCGCGCCGCCCCCAGAGGCTTGCGTCTCGGAGCGGCTCATCCACCACCTGCCGAACGTGAACGTCGCGATCGGCAGTGACAAGCCCGTGGGCGAAGGCGTCGGCGTGGTCGGCGCCGCCTGCCTTTTTCTGCGTCTCGGGCAAGAAGTGGTGCGACAACTACAAGGACATCCTCATGAGGATGGGGCTTGCCAGCCAGATCCTCGAGGAGCCGGAGGACGAGGTCTACAGGTTCGGCAACGGAGGTGCTCTCCCAAGCAAGCTGCGCGGCACCGCGCCGCTTGTGCTGTGCGGCCAGGCCAGTCGCATCGTGTTCAGCGTCGTGGACAGCCCCGCGCTGGGCCTGCTCATCGGCCGCGACTTCATCCAGCCTTCCAAGATCGACATTTCTCTCTGGAAGGGCCAGATCCGCATCGGGAACGCCGCCCAGAAGCTCACCGCGAGCGCCGCGGGCCACCCCGCCATCAAGTTGCAGCCAGAGGACTGGCAGGCCATCGAGGACGCCGGCATGAAGCAACCGCCCAGCGCGGCCAGCTCGTCCGGAAGGAAGCGATAGCTGGACAAGGCCCTATACGTAGAGGTCGAGAAGGCGCTCGACCGACGGGATCGGGAGACGAGGACTGGCTACCAGCCCACGGTCAATAACACTACCAGGACCAGCGCGCGGATCGACACCATCAGCAACTTCGTCACGAAGAAGGAGCTGAACGTTCCGAGGCGCCTCCAGACTCGCCGACCGAAGGGGTCGCGGCTGCTTTCGGCCGTAGCCTCAGCCCTGGTCTGCTGCCCCACCGCAGCTCCAGCTCCGAACCTCACGCCAGCGACGCTGCCGCAGATGACCTACCCCGCGACGTGCGTGACCGAGCCCCTGCAGGACTGCATCGCATGTGGCGAGACGACCTTCGAGGCCTGCAGCCACCGGGGTTTCTGCTCGGACTGCGTTTTCGGCACGCCCGTGACCCTGAGCCATGGCCAGGACGCCATCGCCAACGACTGCCTTGGACCCGAGGTCAACATCGTGGAGGAGGAGCAGCTACGCGTGAGGACGCTCAAGAAGGGGACGAAGCCGCAGTTGATCGCCGGCAAGCGCTCAGTCTTCGTCACCAGCAAGAGCGGCATCCAGCCGCGCAAGATCGGCCAGGCCTTGATCACCAACCTGGCCAAGTATACAACCAGATCCGGTCCGACCTCCACAGCGAACAGCACCGTGCTCTACGAGTGGTGCTGCAACCCGGACAGCAAGCTCAGCGCCGTCTGGAAGAAGAAAGGAGGAGCTGCTGTCAGCTGTGGTCTACCAGGCTTCGACCTCTCCAAGCAATTCGTGGTCCTGAAGCTGGATGGCAGGATCCGGGGGCATCTTGCCGCAGGCAAGGGTGTGCGAGTTCACGCTGCGTTCCACTGCCAGTCGTGGAAATCGCTACAACGACTCGTCGTCAAGATCGACCCGGGCAAGATCCCCAAGTTAACTAGGGATCGTGCCAAGCCAATGCAGATGATCGGCCTTTTCTTGCAGTCGATGTCGCGGCTGCGCAAGGAGTTCGGCGCCCAGCTCGCCGTCTCGTTCGAGTGGCCGAGGTGCTGCGACGGATGGGGCCCCAACAAGAACGCCATTGCCAAGCAGCTGAAGGAGCAGCTCCCGCGCGTCGTGGACTTCGACGGCTGCGCGTTCAATCTCAAGACAAAGAATGGGATCCACATCAAGAAGCCGTGGCGGATCATCGCCGACCGTTTCGGGTTCGACGACTCGCTCAGGCGCTCCTGCAGCGGGGGGCGCCCCCGCGCAGAGGCCCGCGGGGGGGGCGCGAAGCGCAGCGAGAACTGCGCGATCAAGCTCGCGGCGGTGCTAGCCGAGCAGCTGCGACGTCCAAACCGCCGGCCTGTACGAGAAGCCCACCCTACATCGACGACGAGAAGGGCAATCAGATGGACGGTTCCAGCGGCCGCAGCCGCCCGGGGGCCAGCGCTCACGGCCGCGGAGGAGCGGACGCTACGGTCCGCCATCATGCAGCGCCACCTGAACACGGGGCACCCGTCCAACGATTCACTTGCCCGAGCCATTCGCGTGACCGGTGGATCGCAAAAGTCCATCGAAATGGCTCTCAACCTCTACTGCGAGGTTTGTGCAGCACATCAGCGACCACTACCGCGCCT